AAAGGAAGTAGGTACAAGCCATGCAAATGTGAGACAAACCAAGACTCACTAACCACGCGTATCTGTGAGAACTGAGTTAGGCCTGCAACACCCAGCCTATTCCTAGAAGAAGCTAGTCTCTTTATTAAAACATCCGTCCATTCATGAGCGAAGTGCCTTCACGCCTGAATGACTTCCCCATGACCCTGATCCTATGCCTTGGGGAACTAAAGCCAGGTAAATTTTGGTGGGGACAAACCATATTTGAATCCTAGTACTGTCGTTATAAACAAAGGTCTCATCTTCCTTAGCCCTTCCATTACTTGTGGATGAAATGAGAATATGGCTTTTAAAAAAATGTATTACTTTTAATTAATTATGTGTGTGTATACACACATGTTCATCCATGTGTGCTGAGGCATTAGTGCCTTTGAGATCAGAGGACAATTGGTGGGAATAGGTTCTCTCCTTCTACCATGTAGGTCCCAGATACTAAACTATCATCAGGCTTGGTGGCAGGCACCTTTGCCTATTGAGATGCCCCCTTGGCCTAGAATCTGAGAAAAAAAAAAACAACAACAGGAAGAGTTACAAATGCGCACAGCCTGTTAAAAGCCCGTTTCTAACTGATGTTTGAGGAGAGGTGCTTTAAGTGGATGTTTGAAGATGCTCAAGGAGATGCGTTCTTCACTGGGTGCGGAGGCTGCCTCTGGTAATGATGCCACTGGAGAATCTTCTCTTTGCTCCTTTGACTTTCTCAACCTCTAGTCGACTGCTCAGCTCCCTTCTTAGGCCAAGGTCTTGCCCTCTGACCATGACCCAGGCCTATGGGTAGCCAGCCTTCTACTACAAGGCTCTAGACAGTTAATAATGGCAAGAGACAGGAGAAGCAGATTCCCACCCTGCCTTTCTTCAACTGCCACACTGCTGATACGTCCCAGTACAAGAACTGAGAGCAACTTTAATATATCTTTAATATTCTCTGAAGCCTCGGAGAATACCCAGGGCTCTTTAAAGAGCATACACAGTGATGCCATTTCCTTACCAGGAGCGATGTGAAGTTAGAGCAGGGATCAGACATGCTAGTCACGGGGGTGGGACTGTCTCATGTTGCAGAGAGGGTCACGTGGAGAAGTTGTAGGACTTTGTGGCTCTTGGCAAAGCTTCCCAAAGTTTAGGATTTACTCAAAACTTATTATAATCTCAACAGCACAAAAGCTACCATTTCCTGGGACCCTGGGACTGAAGCTTGTGGAAAAGCTAGAGGATGAAGTCCGCTGATGGGAGCAAGAATGACCCTGTCTCAAACTCAAGCAAGGCAGAAGGAAAGAACTTGCTTCCAAAAAGTTGTCCTCTGAAGCCGGGCGGTGGTGGTGCACGCCTCTAATCCCAGCACTCGGGAGGCAGAGGCAAGCAGATCTCTGTGAGTTCGAGACCAGCCTGGTCTACAAGAGCTAGTTCCAGGACAGGCTCCAAAACCACAGAGAAACCCTGTATTGAAAAAAAAAAAAAGTTGTCCTCTGACCACCACACACGAACCATGGTTCATATGTTTCCCCTCAACTCTCTCTCTCTCTCTCTCTCTCTCTCTCTCTCTCTCTCTCTCTCTCTCTCTGTGTGTGTGTGTGTGTGTGTGTGTGTGCAAATTAGTTGTCCTCAGTCTCCCAATTCAAAGTGGCCTGTAATTCCTAAAGCAGACAAAGAATATATAGATACACCAAGTAGTTAAAATACTTTTTATTTTATGTCTATGTGTGTGTTTGTCTGAATGTATTTCACACTCCCATGAAGGCTATGAAAAGGCCTCCATGGAGATGGAGTTACAAACAGGCAACTGTGAGCATCTGATGTGGGTGCTAGAGACCCCAGTTTTCTGGAACAACAGAAAGAGCCCTTAACCACTGAGACATCTCTCTAGTGCCTCAAAATGGTTTTTCAAGTAAGTTATTTTTAGCTAGAACATTCTAATTTGGTTATGGTCATTCATCTGAAAATCCTCCCTTAGTACCCCCACTTAGAGGAAACAGCATGAGAGATGGAGAGTAAACCGGAATGAGGAGAAACCATGGTTGTTCATGCAGAATTTCCGGCCACAATTTTCCTTTCGCTTTTGGAAACTCTGAGTCTCTGTCCGGACTGCTGAAGTCCGTCTCTGCTGATGAAAGAGGGTATGCTAAAAAGGAGGGTCCAGGGAAGCCAAGGAAAACTTCCTTTTGTTCACTGAACTTAGGGCAGAACAGGGCAGTACAGCACGGAACAGACAGCACTCATAAGTGACAGCGGTGCCCTGTTGAAGGTCTGGGAACGCTGTTTTGTATTGCCAGGTGTACACTGCTTGACGTAATGCCCTTTGTCTGGAAACGTTGCTGCCTAATTTTCCGCCATCTAAAGCTTACTTGTGTCCCCCAGACAGCCAAGAGCCACACAACTGCTCAGTAGACAGAGGCTGGAGTGACCAGTGTCCAAGTTTGACTCCTATTGCTGTGATAAGAGCCATAACTAAAAGCAACTTGAGGAAGAAAGTTTATTTCTGCTTACATCTTATCATCATGAAGGGAAATCAGGGCAGGAATTCAAGGAACCTGGAGAAAGGAACTGATGCAGAGAACATGGAGGAATCCTGCCTGCTTACTGGATTGTTCTCCGTGGCTTTTTCAGCCTGCTTTCTCATACCTCCCAGGACTGCCTGCCTGCCCAGGGATTGCACTACCTGGAGTGGTCTGGACCACCCATATCAATCATTACCTAAGAGGGTGCCCTACAGGCTTGCCCGGGCTTGTCTGGTGGAGACAATTCTTCTTCTTCTTTTTTCTTTTTTCTTTTTTTTTTTTTCCGAGACAGGGTTTCTCTGTGGTTTTGGAGCCTGTCCTGAAACTAGCTCTTTTTTTTTTTTTAATATTTATTTATTTATTTATTATGTATACAATGTTGTGTCTGTGTGTATGCCTGCTGGCCAGAAGAGGGCACCAGACCTCATTACAGATGGTTGTGAGCCACCATGTGGTTGCTGGGAATTGAACTCAGGACCTTTGGAAGAGCAGACACTGCTCTTAACCTCTGAGCCATCTCTCCAGCCCCTGAAACTGGCTCTTGTAGACCAGGCTGGTCTCGAACTCACAGAGATCCGCCTGCCTCTGCCTCCCGAGTGCTGGGATTAAAGGCGTGCACCACCACTGCCCGGCTGGAGACAATTCTTCAAGTACAGTTCCCCTTTTCCAGATGACCCTAGCTTATGTCAAGTTGACAAGAATTAACCAACACAGAAGGTATGCTCTGCCACCCACAAGGACAGGCCCTATGGTCTTTTATATAGAGGAAAAGTGGTAACCGTGCCATCTCTACAGCAAAGCTAGCTGGTGTTGTGGAGTATTCCTTTACACTGTGTGAAGATGTGTCACTGGGATTGGTTTAATAAAGAGCTGAATGGCCAATAGCTAGGCCGAAGGTACAGGTGGGACTTCTGGAGACAGAGCGCTCTGGGAAGAAGAAAGGCCAGTGGCTAGCCGGAAGCAGAGAAAGACACCTAGACATGCAAGAAGAAGGGTAAAAGCCACGAGTCACATGTCAACATGTAGATGAATAGAAATGGGTTAATTTAAGTATTAAGAGCTAGTGGGATAAGCCTAAACTATAGGCCAAGCTTTCATAATTAATAATAAGTCTCCATGTTGGGTTTTTTTTTTTTTTTTTTGTGAGCTGCCAGTCCAAAGAAAAATCCATTTACACACAGGCTTTCAACACATGAGAATTATGCTGGGTCCAAGGTAGCAAAAACTCTTGGCTGAAGCAAGCAAAGGTCAAGACCAGCTGTGGATAGAAGGATTGCTAGATATCAGTTCTGGTCAGTTTTGTCCTGCTAGTCTATGCTGGATATCCCAATATGTATTTCTCCGGTATCTGCAGCCTACACCTGAAGACAGATTTGAACCAGAATCTCCAAGACCCCCTGCATGCGAGGCTGGTTTTCTCCAGGAAGTATTGAAGGATAGCAGACACATGCCCAAGATGGGGTTCACACAATCCCATAGAAAAGACATCAGTAGTTCTGACCTCCCTCATGGAGCTAATTGCTGATCAAGGAAGAGTGGCAAAGGAGAGGCCAGCTGATATATTTAAAAGCTACTTTCTCAGGCGCAAGAAGAAAGATATGGGTGATTTTCCTTTAAGATACAGGGCTGGCTTTTCATAGATGCACTAAAATGTCTCCTAAGACAAACAAAAGGCTTGACTCTGGCTACCACAGATAGTGCGCCTCTCCAGTGGTCCTGCCAAGGATGAGATGATACAGGGACAGGCCTGGCCCTTTGTGTTCTTTTTCAAGACAGCAGGCATCCATGGCTCTATGAGCAGAGAGCTGAAGATTCACTTGGGTCCTCCCAGGATGGAGAAGGGCTTGCTTTAGGCTGCCCCATGTGATCAGGGCTCCTCAGCCTCCTAATCTCGGCCTCCAGTAGCAACTGACTCCCATTTGTAGGACAGTTTATAGCCTTCGCTGGGTTTGACCCAAAGCACTATGCTAGGGTTGGGTGAAGGATTAGTGCCTTTCTGAGTGCCTTCACTCGGGTGAGTGTGAGTACCAGGAAACTCAGGGTTGCAACAGCTGCTGAATAGCAGGCCTTCCACCATGGGTATGAATATAAAAAAGGGTGTCACCACATGTCTGTGTCTTCATCAGTTTGCATTCAGACTCAGTTGTCAGTTAAAACATACCTGAGCAGGTTAGATTAGTTCTCAGTATGAAGGACAGTTTGTGTCCCTTTTTTTAAAAAAATATTTATTTATTTATTATGTATACACTGTTCTGTCTATGTGTGTGCCTGCAGGCCAGAAGAGGGCACCAGACCCCATTGCAGATGGTTGTGAGCCACCATGTGGTTGCTGGGAATTGAACTCAGGACCTTTGGAAGAGCAGGCAATGCTCTTAACCTCTGAGCCAACTCTCCAGCCCCTGTGTCCCTTTTTTTCTCTAGGAGACATCCTCTCCTGAGTGGCCCCTTTTAAGGACTTTCCATTTCTCCTAGCCTTCTCATCCTCTTGAGCAAACCGATGCTTGGCCAAGCTGGATATGGTGATGCCCTTCAGCAATCCCAGCACTCCAGAGACCAAGGGAGGATTACTGCGGGTTCAAACCCAGCCTGGGCTACATAATGAGACCACAGCTCAAAAACAAATAAAACTCCATGAAATCCCCTCCCACACACTGAAGTCACAGTTTAAAAAAAAAAGAAGCGAGTTCATCATTCATCGGCAGGGCCTCACTGACCGGTGCTATGGTAAGTAATCTTAGCTGTCCAACTGACTGGATTGAAATGCCTAGAAAATTGATAAATAATATTTCCACTTGTGTCTAGTAGGGTGTATGGCTCAGTGATCTGAATGCCTGGATGGGGTGGTCTTCCAAAGCCTGGGGAACCTGTGAAACAAAAAGAGGAGGAAGGGGACAGCTCATACATGTGCACCTGTGCTCAGCTCTTCCTGAGTGGGAAGTTTTTAGGGCTGCGATCACCCACAGACACCCTCCTCATGCTTCCCGAACCTTGCAGCATAGATTCACAGCAGTAACCCTTGGGAATTGCCAGGCTTTCCCTGTCAGATTAGAGTTGCATTATTTCCCCGTTTTTTCTGAGGCCTCCCCAGACTGCACACAACCACCGGGAGACCAGCCAGTGTCAGGTGAAAGAAGGCAACTAATAAATCGTGATCTACTTGTGAGCACACAGGAGGCACATGAAGAAATGGCTAGCTCTGTTCATTTTTATTTTTCATCCATTTGTTGTACTTACGAAACAACTTTCCTCTGTGCCTCTAGTGTTCTTGTGAAACCAGTTGGTTGGGCTTTTCTGTCCCTAAGATAGGTCCCTTTTGGGGGAGGGGGGTCTCCTGCCTGTGAGTGAAAGGGTCAACTCTCATAGGATGTCAGCTCAAATGGTTTTCCCTCAGCAACTTAGAGATTATAATATAATAGGTATTATGAATTACCAAAAGATAAAATGAAGCAAATTGAGCTTAAATATCTTTTATAAAGGCAAGCATGGTGGTGCACACCTTTAATCCCAGCACTCAGGAGGCAGAGGCCTGCGGCTCTCCTGAGTTCAAGGCCAGCCTGGTCTACAGAATGAATGTAACAAGTGCTACACAGAGAAACCCTGTTTCAGAAAAAACAAACTAACAAAGAACAAGATAAAGATTTAGTGTGTGTGTGTGTGTGTGTGTGTGTGTGTGTTTGTGTGTGTGTGTGTGCCTGTGGGGGGAGGGCAGTGCATAATCATAAGTGGAGGTACCAGAAAAGGCCAAGGCCAGAAGAGGGCTCACTCAGATCCGCTACAGCTAGAGTTAAGTAGATAGGGAGTTAAACAAGTTGTAAGCCACCAGATGGGAACACTGGGAACTGAGTTGGAGTCCTCGAGACCTCTTAAACAGAGTCTTCTCTCCAGCCTCCATCTTTAAAGATCTTCTGTAAACAGGACAAACTCTCCAGTGAGCTAAGCAGAACAGGAATAAGAAGAATAGAAACAGAGGATAAAACTTAGATTCCAAGGTCAGTTTTCTTTTAAGATTAAAGGAGAGGAGACTGTAAAACCGAGCTGATGGAGGACTGGTCTTTCAACTGTCAGTTTGCTCTTTTCTTGGACAATCAGATGGTTGTTTTACTCTCTCTCTCTCTCTCTCTCTCTCTCTCTCTCTCTCTCTCTCTCTGTGTGTGTGTGTGTTTATTGGAGATGTGGGTCCATCTTAAGACTCCATCCATTCTTGTTTTGTTTGTGTTCGTCTGACTTTGATGTGATGAGGATAGCACCTAGGGCCTTGCACATGCTAGACAGGTTAGGACAGGTTGATTTACTCTGTCTAGCTCAGGGCTGGAGCTCAGTTCAAACCACTGGTCTCCTATACAGCTTACTTAATAGAATTCAAGAGTGCATTCCACACATGCTAATTGAGTCTTTCTCATGTCCAGCATTATGACAGGCTCAGGAGACAGTAAGACAGTAATTATAGACACTAACTTATCTGTGGGTTACTGCATCAGCAACTTGGAGTGGGATACACAGAAACTGCACCTTCTTTCCTGATATGGGAGAGGTTTGATGTGGGATTCCCCTCTGTATGCTGTGAATACCATTGGTTAATAAAGAAAACTGTCTTGGGTCTGCACAGGGAGTAGAGGTAGGCAGGGAAAACTAAACTGAATGCTGGAAAAAAGGAGGCAGAGTCAGAGAGAAGCCATGTAGCCCCGCTGCCTGAGACAGACACTGAAACTTTGCCCGTAAGCCTCTGCCACGTGGCAATACACAGATTAATAGAAATGGGTTAAATTAATAAGTAAGAGCTAGCCAATTAGAAACTAGAGCTAATGGGCCAAGCAGTGATTTCAGTAATATAGTTTCTGTGTGATTATTTAGGCTCTGGGCAGCTGGGACGAACAAGCAGCCTCATTAAACAGAGGTTCCTTACATCATAGGATTGTCTGTATTCTGGCACCCAGGCCCTTCTTGACTTAGTTGAGTCACTGCATGTAACAAGTAAACATATCCTAAAACAATCAACATAGGAAACACTGTTAGTCACTATTGTGGCCTGGGGCTCACTGCACTGTCTGCACGGTGATTCTACTGTGGTTTGGTCTCTTCCCTTTGAATATGGATATGACTGCCACGATCAATCCAGAGGACATGCAGGGTTGCAATCTACCTTCTTTGAGATCTCCTTCATCAGCCTTTATCAGCACCTTCTCCTAACCTAACTCATGACTTGGACAAATGAACTCATTGCTTATTTAAAGACTTTCTTTTGTTAGTGTCGGAGAAGTGACTCAGTGCTTAAGAGTTTGGACCTCAGTTCAGTCCCAGCATCCACATCAGGCAGCTGACAACCTGGCTGAAGCTCCAGCTCCTGGGGGCTTTCGGGACTGGGTGTCTGACAACTCTGGACTCCTTTGGCCACTAGTATTCATGTGTATATGCCTATATACAGATACATTCACATACACACATTAAAATTCAACCCACACCTTTTTTTAAAAACAGATTTATTTCTTATGTATACAACATTCTGCCTCCATGTATGCCCACACGCCAGAAGAGGGCGCCAGATCTCTTTACAGATGGTTGTGAGCCACCATGTGGTTGCTGGGAATTGAACTCAGAACCTCTGGAAGAGCAGCCAGTGAGTGCTCTTAACCACTGAGCCATCTCTCCAGCCCTCAACCCACATCTTTAAAACATTTTAAAATTACATTTATTTTACTTACTGCAGGGGCGTTCAATGTTCACATGTGTGTGCCAAAGTACATGTGTGGGAGTCGGAAGACAACCCAGAGAAGCCAGAACTCTCCTTCCTGCCATGTGGGTCTGAGGGAATCCAGCTCAGGCTGCCAGGCTTGGCAGCAGGTGTTACTGGCAGAGCCATCTTGATGGTTCAAGTTAGTTGCTTCTGCTCCTGCTAGTAAAAGACCTGGATAAATCCAGAGCCCTCTAGCAGGAAGAGAAAAGCCAAAAATCTAGGATTAGCTGGTTCAGTGACTTGTTTCCAGAACTAGCTGAAGATAAAGTTAGGTTATAATCTTGAGAAACAGGGAGTTGCCCCTTTGTGATCATTTTCGGAATTTTCCAATGATGCCCTCCCTGCACCCTTTGGATTACTGGGTTGTGGTTTCTTCCCTTAAATACCCCTTCTCCCAGCTACTCGGGGTCGAACTCCTCCCCTGCCTGGGTTATCAGTCTCAGCCCCAGTGCACTGGTACCTGTCAAATAAACCTCGTGTGATTGCAGCAAGGATGGTCTCTCGTGAGTTACTGAGGGGGTCGTGTTATCCCGAGACTTGAGAGTCTCCCCACAACTGGGGTCTTTCACTCAACTTGCCATCCTAGACAGCAAGTAGTCTTTCCACAAAGACTTCAAGTTGTCTCCCTGGTTTTAGACTGCTCTAACTGGGGTCCATATGAAGGGGAGGATGGGGTGGGTGTTTCCAGTTCAGTGTCTGCCGCCACCCCGGCTCTAAATTCTTCCTCTGAGAAAATCCTTCTCCTGCTAATAAGATCTCTGTACTTAATTCTTAGTGAACAGAGAAAGCAAAAGCATGGGCTCTAAAGATGGCTTTGAGAAAAGAGAGGGGAGGGTAGAAGAGGAGAAAGGAGGGGAGGGGAGAAAAGGAGGGGGGGAGGAGCTGGATGGACAAGTGAGAACTCCACTTTTCCCGTTTCCATTCGGCTTCAGTTTTGCTCACAAAGGCTGGTCCACAGCTCCCCATCGTACTGCCTGATGTACCCTGGCCCTTCTCCGAAAGATTGGATCCACTTTCCCACATGCTGCTCCTACTGCTGCAGGTTCTAAAGGAAAGGATCATGGAAACTGAAAACTTGGTTTGTTAAGATCAGCACTACATTTCACAGGGCTCCCATGATCCTCATCCAACTTCCTGGTTCACCCTGAGAACCTGCTTCTGTTCACTGTTATGCCCAGATCACGGAGTCCCCCCCAAACCAACTAGGAGACCGAGTTCTGCAGGTGAAAGCAAAGAGCCTTTATTCTTACACAAGTTTGCAAACTCCAACTCTCTGTGTGTCTAACTTATTGGAGTGATAGGAGAACCCAGAGCTTAGTTAGGGTTGGGTTTTTGTAGTAGCAAAGGATTTCTAAGGTTCAGGACCCCTGATTGGCTGATTTTTATCTAAGGGAGTGTCCTGGTGAAAAGCGAAGGGTGAGTGTCGGCAGGTGATCCTATCTACAACAGTTGGAATGTTAGGAATTTTCTTTAGACAGCCTGTTCCTGGGTGGTGCCTGGGTGGTCTCAGGTTTGTGGTCTTTATCAGAACCAGGTATTGCCTCAGGGTAAACTACTGAGACTCAGGCCTCTCTTGAGCTCCTCCTGGCTGGGTCCCACATTCACTGAACTTGAACCCTCCCTTCCTGGTCCAAGCAGATGCTGTCCACCTCCACACCTCTTCTGCTTTCTCACCCAACCTCGGGCTTCTGTGAGGCCCCCACACCTGCCATCTTCTCAGCCACACACTGCAGCTCAGGCACAGGAGATGCAGCCTGAATCCAATTACCTCAGGAGCCCTCATCTCCACTTCCGCACTCCTCACCCACTTCATCCCTCCCTCTAAGCCTCCTTGGGTTACTTTCTACGGCAACTTTCAAATTTATTTTATTTTAGTATTGATTTTCTTTGTTTGTTTGTTGAGAACTGCCTAGCCCGGAATTCACTGTGTAACAGAGGCGGACCTTAAGCTCCTGGTCCTTCTGTGTCCTAAGTGCTGGGATTGAGGTAACTA